GATAATGTAATTTTTAGAGCATTTTTTTTGCAGAAAACTGTAATCTTAATTAAACCCACAGGGTTCGACAAGATTTTTTTTCTTTACCTGCCCATGAAAAGTTACCTGCCCGAACCCGAAACAAAAATGTTCAAAATTTGATAAAATATAAGAAAAAACGTGTACTGTATTTGTACTACAAAAATATTAACATGGTTATACAGAGGTACAAAAAGACAGCTGATTTAGCAGATGCAAACATTGCAGACTGAGTCACTCACATTCAGTCAATTGTTTTATAAAAAACATCTTCTAAAACCTTTTTTAGACCTTTCCATTGTTTTCCCTAGAGTATTGGCCTTGGGAGGGCTGCTTATAAAACAGAATGATCAACAGCAGCATCTTTGTTTTAAATACAATTTACAGAACATGAAAGTCTGCAATTTGCATTAATTGAATCTTATATAGTCCATCTAATTTCTAAAGATACATTTATTTAAGATATTTAGAACTGGAGTCTACCTACAACTTAATGATAAATCTGACGTTATTTATACAAGTCAGAATATAATTAGAGATATCTAAAATAGGTATTTTGAATTGTCAAAATACAGTATATTAAGAGATGTTTATTTATTTGTTTGTTTCTTTCATTTATAAAAACAAAACAATCTATGTACACCATTTAAAAAAAGTAAATTCTACCCTGGATTAAAAGGGCGCAGTGAAGAAAAAACTATATGTGCCCCTTATTTTCAAAAATCAACTTCAACAAACAAACAAGCTCAAGCTGGAAATATCTCCAAGTTTAAAAAATAAGTACATAAAACAAAACAAAATAATAAAAGAAAACATTTTATTATTTTATCCTAAATAACTAATATATCTAATCTAGTCACAAAACAATTTCCGATAATTGGAATGTAAGTGTGGTGAAGCCAAATAAATGCAGTATCGGCCTGCCGTGAGCCTGTTGAACTGACCCCCTGCTGTTCTGCGCTCTCAGAGCACAAGCCGACATTAGCGAGATGGATTTATGACTGAACGAACGTCCACATCTTGTTTTATCATCTCTGTGGGTAACAATACATTAAAAAAAACAAGTTTTTTTCTCCGACAGCTTGGGTGTGAAAATCTATTGTAGTTGAAACTTTGCTTTGCACGACGTGCAGCGGGAGGGAGGGAGAGATTATGATCCCGTGACAYGACATAACTTTTCTGCAGYGGGAGGTGGAAATTTTGAGGATTTATCCTCTATACGTGTTTTAAAACACTAGAATTTCTTCGTTATATTTCAAACTCCTGCTCAGTTTTCTCTGCACTTGCAGCCACGCTGACACAGGTTCGATGACGATAGGACGGTAGAGGGTAAATTTCTACCGTAGGCCAACTTCATACCGTTTTTACAGTCTACCGCATATACCGCGCAGCCCTACAATAACAGTATTTATGTAGTTTTGTACATAAGCAATAACATATCTCCTTTCTACAGGGAGAACTCACCATTTCCCCCAGTATGGAGACTCTACAGTCTGCACTATTCAGTGATTTTGTCCCAGATTCCTGGGCTCAACTGGCTTATCCCTCTGCTAAATCACTGACGCACTGGTAACTTTGTAGTTTGTCTTCCTTACTAGTCTTAGTTATATGGTTCTTATTGTTTTGGTGCTGTTACAATGCGGTATTGTTGTTAAAGAAATATTTGTTTTACAGGTTGAGTGATCTAATATCCAGTTGTCACCAGTTGGACACTTGGACTCAAGACTTCGATCTACCTGCAGTTGTTTGGCTTTCAGGGCTTTTCAACCCACAGTCTTTCCTCACTGGTGAGAATCCAGTCTGTGAGCAAGATGATTTTAAACCTGAGAAATGTTTCACATGAGAAATGCTAACCTGCAGAGTCATGATTTTATTTATTTATTTATTTTACAGCTGTGCTGCAAAGTATCGCTCGCAAATATCAGTGGCCCCTGGACAGGATGGCTCTGACTGTGGACGTAACGAAGAAGATGAAAGATGAATTTGGACATCCTCCAAGAGAGGGCGCCTACATCCACGGACTCTTCATGGAAGGTCAGAATTGATTAGCTCAAACACAACCTCTGGTGCACCCTGACTAAATATATTTGCACATCTTTGACAGTATTTTACGGCGTATTAACTCGCCCCGTGTTCTCTCAGGAGCACGCTGGGACACTCAGTCTGGTGTCATCGCCGAAGCGGTCTTGAGAGATCTGACCCCTTCCATGCCAGTGCTGTATGTTCGAGCTGTACGTGCAGAGGAACAGGAGCTGAAAAACACTTACGAGTGCCCGGTGTACCGCACTAAGCAGCGAGGGTCCACGTATGTGTGGGCTTTTCACCTCCGAACCAAGCAGCCGCCAGCTAAGTGGGTTTTGGCTGGAGTTGCTTTGCTTTTGTCTGTGTGAGACAGTGAGGAATTTTCCAAACAATCTGCTGAAAAACTGCACCTCTATCTAGCGTTAGATCTTYCATATCAATAATTTAGCTTTTAGACAACTTAGTTATAAAAATGTTTCATTGTCATTAGTGTGTGTTAATGTATTTATAGGAGACATGAATGCTTTGTTCGAGCTGAGTTTAACCAGTGTTGAACCTGTTGTGTCTGTGTCCAGCACTATCACACGTCTCCCTCGAGTCTGGCCGTGATTTGTTGGGCGCTTACGTCTCCATTTTAGACCATGTAATTTTGGATAGGGAGCATATTTTATTGGAAGGTCAAGATTAAAAAAAGCTCTCCGGCTGCCCTCTGCAAACTGAATGATACACAATGCTGTCTGGAGGCTTCCCGGACCGAATTCCCAGGAGATGATGTGCATGCTGGCTATTGACTTTTAAATGAGGTGCGTTTGACATTGACCTTTTGTACGCCGGAGGCAGAATACTAACAGACTAGTGTAATTCATTCAGCCGAGCCTGTTGGAAAAACCTATTCAAAGACACCGATAGCTTTGTATGAGAAAGCAACACATTAGATTACCCATCCTTTATCTGTCTCCTCTCTCTGTTAGCATCTGATTAACTTCATCTGCACCAAATAAAAACCTTTAAGTTTGAACCATTCTCAGGAAAGACTCGTCTTATCTAAAGTGTTATCTTTTCAAATCAGTTAGATTGAGGTAAATTAAAGAGTGGGGGGAAAAGGACAAATTAATTTTTTAACCCTTTTATTGCCAAACAGGTTTTCTTTCAAAGTGGAGATGATTTTGCACGGCACGACGTTAATGAAAACAAATTGTAACTCAAAGAAAAGAAACACATTTATCCTTCAAAGCAATTAATTTTGTCCTTTTTTATTTAAATGAACGAGTGAACTTTATGATCTCGTTGTCGAGCTTAAACACAGCCATGTTACTGACATCCTGATACACAAATTACAGCAGCTGAACCACGCTGGTGTTTTTCAGAGAGGTGGAGGAGGTCAAATCCACACTCTTCTCAAATAAGATTTTCTCCAGCACTAATAACCGCTGTGCTGCTCTTAATTCCTCCCTGCAGCCTAAGTGGCTGCAGACAGACAAATAGAGGAGAGGAGATTGATTCTGTGCATTGTGTTGCAGGGAGGAGGGGGGGGGGTGAAGTGAAGAAGAAGCGGCCTTCCTGCAGATTCTCTAAATCTGCCTTCCCTTCCTCTCATTAGCTCGCCGCAGCAGCTAGCCACTCATTTGGTGACAGGGAAATGATACAGTGCCGGCTGAGTTTGGGAGGAAATGCCAGGGTGCGAAGACCCCGGCGCAGCAGGGGTCATGCCACACAGAAGTCATGTTAAAGGCCAAACGGGACACCTGGTTAAAGTAAAAAAAAAAAAAAAAAAGAGAGAGCATCTGGGTTACACCTCCGCCTCCCTGCACCAATGGTAGTGTTTGTCCAAAAAGTTGATATTTTCCAAACCGTGAAATATTGTGTAGTTAGAAACAAATAACTTACAGATTAACTCAGCACAGAGTGTTGAAAACAGTAACAAATAATAATAGTAATAAATGTCTCTAAGGCCTTGGAGCATATCTCCCCTTWACTTTTTATTATTGGTTATTTTCGCCTAATTTCTACAGAAAAATAAGTGCATATCCAAGTGTTTATACTTGATGTTCAGTGTAAAAATGAATGCTTTCAATGAACTTTGCTCAAAAAGTAAGGACATTTGTGCTTTGTAGATTCTTTGTGACAATGCTTCTTGGTAATGAATCTTATAGCGAGCACCTGATATCTGCACAACCCACATACTCAGATCTACTGCTCATCCCACAAATACATGCTCCTTACAAATGTGGCACCATTTAAATGGGAAMTGAACAGGYTTCCTCAAGTTATTCGATTTATTGCCAAGAAACAGAGAAATAATCTACCAGACACAACTGTCCTTACTTTCTGTAATAAGTTTATTTATATTTTATAATTTTTAGACAGGTCGCTCTTTTCTGTTTGTTTTGAGGCCAAAATTGTGAAGATCAGTTTTTTAAAGCGTTATCACCACCTGTTTCTTCTTGCTTTCTGATATTTTTGTTTTTTTCAACCTCCAGCTTTCATAAAAACTAAAGTGCATCAAAGCAAGATACAGTTAATTAGATCAATTTTTAGTTTGCCATATTACAAAACACCTAATTTTATTTGCCCAAATAATTTCTTCGAAATTTGCAGGGTTTGACAAAAAAACATCTRAAGTCCTGCATGCTGCTATAACATTTAGAATTCCTACATTTTAAATTTTTTTATTAATTTCATAAAAAACTTAATAAATTCTATACAATAGAAGAAAAACAATGCAAATCACAAATTAAATGAAAGGCAGCAAAAAGAAGAAAAATATCCGATAATATGTGCCCCTTTTTATGTTTTATTTTATGTTACCCGTATAACCTCCAGTTTTAAAAAGCAGAGTTTTGCTTCTTAATTTACATTTTGGATGTTATTATGAACACAGTTTTTTTTTATAATAAGAGCCTCATAATACTTTAAAAAGAATTTATTGCACGCAGATGATGGTGTTGGTCGCTCCATGGTTTGACATTTCATGCAGACCAGCCAAAACTGAGTAGAAAAATGATTAAACGACTATATTAAACAGTATCTTTACAGCAAATAAACAACTCTGAAATAAATATCTACATTTTATGTTTTGACATATTTGTACAATATACACATAATCTAATGTACATTAGTTAAAATGAAAGAATTTTTTAAGTAATCCACAGTTAAATGATGATGGCTTTAAAATCTATAAAACCTACAAAACCTGACRAAACCAAGTCCTCATAACACAGATGTACACTGTAGTCCTACACATTATTTGCAAATAAACAAAATATATATTTAATTGTCTCTGCCTGGACAGTGCTTTAATGTTTGACTTGCACAATTTTATACTTGCATAAAAAAACCAAAAGGATTTTTTCCCCCTGGAATAGCTATTACTTATCTAAATGAAAGATTGGTTGAACGTCAGATCATTTTCTGTTTGCTCAGAAAGCAGAAGTTAAAGCAAACTCTTGATTCTTTCAGCTGATTGTCWACAGCCTCCGTGAGCCGATGCTTTAGAAAATACAGGAAGTTTTAATAGTGAATTTGGCACAAACACCTGACTCACACAGACAAAAAACAGCACACCACTCACTCTATAATCTCCTATTTTCTGCACTATCACAAACTGTAACATGTCGAACCTCATCTAATATGCTGCACCTGTAAATAAGAAAGAAAACAATCATTGTCACTGGTTCTTTCATCTTGACATAACAACGGGTGCGTGGACTGTTCTATTCCTAGGATTGCAGCTGGCGCTTGCTCTCTCTATATAAGCTGTTGTGTCAGACTCAGAGACACACAAGTGTGTAACCTGTCTACTGAAATACTCTTTGGCTAAATCTAATAAAASACCTTCTGCTGACAGATGCCTCAACACCATCTGATCATTTCCGAAGGTGTGTCCAGGAACCAGTCTGTGARACAGAAATCACTTCATCATGTGTTAAAAGCTTTAAAAGGAAGTTTGTAAAACAACTGTGCCAGAAGGACTTTTTCACTTTTTATTCTTCTTGCTGTAAGGCGTATTTTGCAGGGTGCTGGTTTTCCACTGGTYTGTTGCTGTCCGAGCTGCTCTTTCCTTGTAAACCTCTGCCATCTGTAGGAGACATGAGGAACAGCAGCAGCAGCTTTCACAGATGTCATCAGCCTGATAAACGTGGCTCCGGGCTTCTTGCTGTTGTTGCAGCGTTGATGTTTGATGGTCTGAGCCTGCTCTCAGCTGACATGGATCAGACTGTTGTGGATCTATGCAAACATCTGCAGTCCTCCTAATATTGTATTTTTTTTTTACCCCAACTTGTTTATGTCTCTGGTGGCCTCCTCTCTGATTTCTCTATCTCGTGTTCAGCAGGGACAGGCCTGCGAGTCCTGAGCGCTACGAGATGAGACAGTGACAGGTTGATCCTTGGCAATTCAGCAGTGAGGAAAGAGCGGGAGAAAAAAGTCTTTTTTCTCTCTCTAAGCCCGAGGCTCCAGCCTGTGTGACAGTTCAAACAGAGTCTGCTGATTGTCGATGACATGAAGGTAATCGATGTACGCTCGAACCTCTGAGCTACTTTTCTGGGTTATTCCATCTCCTGGAATAAAAAAAAAACATAAGAAATTGAGGCAACAGAATTCAAAACAACTCTTCTATACACTTGCTAATTTTTCTGCTATATTTCAGTTTCTCCTACTTACACTCTACTTTTGGTCAAATGACAGCTTTTCATAAAAACAACTGGTTGCCATTTAAAAAAAAATCAAATTCTTGTATTTTTTTATGATTTTTGATTGATTAAGTTAAAAAGCACATTCCAGCTGAGATACGGATCTGCTTGTCTAATTCAAAAATAGTGGTAAAAAGACTATCGCTAAAGCAAAATATGCTGTGTTCAGGTACATATGGTGAAATAAAAAAATCAGTGCTCAACCCCCCCCCCCCAAAATAAAAAATAAAAACACAAAAAAACATTGTTTAGCATCTAAAAGTTGAAGCATAATTCTGTCACTGTATCAATTAAAATGTCGTGATGCTGGATTTATGCATTATTTCTCTCTGCACTGGGATTGTTTTCTTTTTTTTCCATTTATCTTCTTAAATTTAAAACTAGCTGGTGTTCTGTTAGATTTTCTTTTAWTAATGTAGATATTTTACACAGAGCGCTACTAAGCAACATTAGAGCCATATTAAAGGAAACATCATGCTTTTAAATCCTTCAGTTGGGCTCTATATAAAGTGGAACAGCAATGCTTTGGTCTGAATCCCTCCTTATTGTAACTCCACAAGCCCCTCTTTCACTCCTTTTCTGAAGTGTTTCTCATCAACTCATTTTGGTGCTGTCTCTTTAAATGCAAATGAGGCACTTCACTCACAATCGTCACTGCCCACTCCACCTTGTCCAGCCATTTTTGTAGTTTGATAGCAGAAACAAGATTATCTAGCGGTGTAGAAACTTCTTTATTTACGATTTACTTAAAGATGTCAACAACAGGAGTTAAAAAAAGGGATAACCAGCACTCCAAAAAATACTACTGTTTTAATAAGGGCAGAAACAGGACGCGTTTCGACTACATGCTGTCGTCAACTTGTTACAGATCAGACAAACTACAAATCTTTATAAAGAGGTAAAAACACCTAAGCCAATCACAAACAGGTTGGGCAATCAGTCCAAAAAAAGAAACATCTGTGACTAACATGCACAACTAGTAGACTTCAATAATATACAATAGGAATACATGAAATCACAGAAAAGTTACAAAAAATGTTTTTACAAAAAGGACAAAAATCACAGAAAGCAGTTCAGCACCAGTTCTTCATTAAGTCCTTTAGGGTTAACAGTCTGTAAAGAGTGGATCCAGAATGCTTCTCTTTGTTTGTCTCTATCACCCCCTCTTTTGAGAGGAGGAACAACTTCTATGCCTTGAAATTTCAAGGAGCAAATATCTTGACCAGCTGTCATRAAATGTCTGTCTGTGATTTTTGTCCTTTTTGTAAAAACATTTTTTGTAACTTTTCTGTGATTTCATGTATTCCWATATACTGTATTGTATATTATTGAAGTCTACTAGTTGTGCATGTTAGTYACAGATGTTTCTTTTTTGGGCTGATTGCCCAACCTGTTTGTGATTGGCTTAGGTGTTTTTACCTCTTTATATAGATTTGTAGTTTGTCTGCTCTTTAACAAGTTGATGACGGCATGTTGCCGAAACGCGTCCTGTTTCTGCTCTTATTATCCATTTACTCTCTTTCCCTTTTTAAAAGGAGATTTGAGTTGTGCGCACTAAAAAAAATTTTTCTTATTGAACAACAGGAGTTTAACCATATAAAAACATCCAGCCTTACATGTTGGAGCCAGAGTCTGACCCAGAGCCAGAGGAGAATGAGGGCAACAAACGTAAAGATCCACACATTTACAACATTTTATGCCCTTGTATAGTAGCTCTGCAAAAAATACTGTGACGTCATAGAAAATATAGAAAATTGAACAGACTAAAATGTTTGACCCAAAYAGAATATAAAGATATCTACAAAGGGTCAGTGTATCTTTTGGTCATTGGATTTTCATTTTGGAAACGGGTATTTAAAAATAAGAAACGAGCGTTTATTTGATTTTTGTTTTAAAACACTGAAATAAAAATTAAAATACAACGCGTTTCTCATTCTTAGTGTCAAAAAGGATAACAATTTTTTTTTAATGACTTGAGTTTCATTTTCTGTTTCAAATAGCAAAAAAGAAGGTAACTTTAAAACAGAAACAAAAAAAGGCTTGATTGTTATTTTACGATTATCTATTCCCCCACCAGAAGGGGCGCTCACCTGGCAGCTCTACATAATAAAATACTAATTTCTGTAAATAAAAGGCTGAAACATAGAGAAGTGTCCATAAATAAGTTGTATGATGACTGTCACTCTGTGACCAAAGGCTGCAGAGATACTTCATGTGRYTTTTGRCCAAATAAGTCTCTTTTACTGAATACATGTCAGCTACTGCCTCCACTTCACCTCTATTTCTCCCAATAAAAAGCAAAATATGACAACTTTCATTCTACTAGTGTGTTGYACAGTTGTTGCTCTGAGAGCAGAACATTTTTTCTCTCCTGAGTTTTGACAAAATCTGTACTTTTTTCTGTGAGTTTGAGTCCTTGGAGTTTTCCTTTCAGCGAGGGGTGGGCGGTACTACGACTTTGATATTGATCTGATACCAAATATATACTTGGCAAATATATTTGATACCGAAGTCAGTATCAAAGCTTTTTACTTGTAATAGGATGTTTATCGAATAACTTTGATATTGCAGACACGCCTTCTGGTGGTGAAACAGATTATTTTAGGGTTACGGTAATTTGTCATATTTTGCTTTTTATTGGGAGAAATAGAGGTGAAGTGGAGGCAGTAGCTCACGTGTTTTTAGTAAAAGAGACTTATTTGGCCAAAAGCCACATGAATTACCTCTGCAAAGCCTTTGGTCACAGAGCAACAATCATCACACAACTCATTTATGGACATATTTCTCTGTGTTTCAGCCTTTTATTTACAGAAATAAGTGTTTCATTATGCAGAGCTGCCAGGCGAGCGCCCCCTCTGGTGGGGGAATAGATAGTCGTAAAATACAAATAAACAAGCCTTTTTCCGTTTCTGTCCTAAAGTAATTGTCTTTTTTTGCTACTGAAACAGAAAATGAAATTCAAATCAATTTTTTTAATTTTGTTTATCCCTTTTTGACACTAAGAATGAGAAACGCGTTGTATTTTAATTTTTATTTCAGTGTTTTAAAACAAAAATCAAAGAACCGCTCATTTCTTATTCTTTAATACCCGTTTCCAAAATGAAAATCCAATGACCAAAAGATACACTGACCTACAAAGCACCAGGAGAGACTAAATTTGATTTTCTGCACTCCGGTAAACTCCAAGTACACAACAAAATGTATTTAAGAGCTAACAAAGTGGATTTTAATTTAAAAGTCAGCTACTAAGAAATAAACAAATTTAGTTTGTCAAACAACAGGATAGTTAATTAAGGAGTTAAACATTTGTCTGCTGAAAAGGATTCTGGTAAATATTGACTTTTATAAACCTTGTGTGATGTGAGACTTGTATTTGGAGGCAACATATTAAGAGTTTAAACACAAATGTTATATTTCATTAGTTTTGGTTGGAATAGAAATTTTTCTTTTTAACTTCCTGTAAAGAAAACATAATTTGCTGTCATCATAATGAACACTAATTATTTCACATTCTAACATCAGACATAGATCATTTAAACACTGACCAGTGTGATCTTTCTGACACTGCCAGATGAGTCGCGCCATCTCTGCTATCATGTGCTGGAGACAAAAACAAACAGTCATCAAAATGTTCAAACTCAGCATTACTACAAAAATAAAATAAAATAAAATCTTACCAGCTTCTCAAAATTGACCAGGTTATCATGAAACGTTTTGTTGCCTTCATGAATGAATGTAATATCTGCAACAGATAAACGTTTGATTTAGAATCCTGTTCATGTTTCTTGTTGCTGGGTAATAATAAAGCAGCAGAACATAAGGAAACCTTTCAGAAGCAGAGGAAGAAAGGGAATCTTTGGAGCCTTCATCTTCTTGAAGGAGTCCCTGTAGGCCTTGTGGTTCAGCGAGGGATCCTGTGAAGAAAAATATTCAAAATGAGTGCGATCCTCCAGAGACAGACGTGTGTCTGTGCATGCCTGCTGTGTTAGAAATGAAATATGAAAAGGATTAAAGTCCAATGATCAGATAAACCTCTGATGTTTTCACATATTTGTTCTGGATGAACAWCTGTTTGTTTTAATCTGTTTGTACTCTCATTCACTGCTGCGGCGGGGATTAAAAGATGTACATCATATTAGTTGTAATTAAACAACAGTGTTATCTTGCACTGATCGTACACTTACTGTGACTGTCTCCAGCTCTGAGAACAGCTTTTTAAACTTTCCGGGAACTTTCTGTCAGAAAAAAAAAAAAAAAACAGTATAACAAAAATCAAACAATTGCAATGTAATGATAGCAAAACAATAAATAAATAAATATTATTTTAACAAGAAACAAAAAACAAGATATTCAACCTCCCACGTCTGACTGAGGCGACTGACGGCTGCAGCGTTCAGGCCCATTACAAAGAAGCTGTTGAGGTTCCTCTGTGCTTTAAAACAGTATAACAAAAATCAAACAATTGCAATGTAATGATAGCAAAACAATAAATAAATAAATATTATTTTTACAAGAAACAAAAAACAAGATATTCAACCTCCCACGTCTGACTGAGGCGACTGACGGCTGCAGCGTTCAGGCCCATWATGATGGCAAAGAAGCTGTTGAGGTTCCTCTGTGCTTTACAGCTGTAAAAGACCAATAAAGTAGATGCAGTTTACTCTTTTGCCACAAGAGGGAGCCTTTGGCCCTCTCTGTTAATCCACAATGATGCGAGGAGGCAATGGAGAACAGCATGATGCCAATCAGCGAGTGTGTTATGGCAGTGGAGGTGGATGTGATCAAAGCTACTGACTGAGCGGCAATCTTGATGAACTTCTTGATGAGCTGGACTCTTTTGCAGAGGGTGGGGCACAGCAGCACCTCCGTCATCACCCACAGCTGCACCTCGTTGCAGCGCTGCAGCAGCAGCTCCAAGGCCGTAGTGTGGTCGCTGCGAACGTGTCGGCTGAAGGTGAAGTACACCAGTTCCTGCTGTAAAAATAAAACAAACCAAAAAAATAAAAACGCAGCACATACAGGAAGTTGAGAGGAGCAGTGGTACATCCTCCAAAATACGTACTAAGGGTCAACTGTCCAGGTCTAGGTAGGACAGAGCAGTGGCGGATCTAGGATTTTTCAGTGTAAGGGGCCATCGGGGGGCCACCAYATTCATAGAGGGGCCAAGTATTTGTTCAACATGCTTGCACACAAATCCCCAGTTTTTGTAAGGTTTATACATTTAATCAATCACACGTGTTCAAACACTTGTAAAAACTTGCATAGTTAATGCTCCTTATCAATTTTACATGATTTTTAACTGTATATAAATAAAATACTCTCAAACACACAGCATGCAAGAAAATCTAGCTATCGTTGTCAGTAAAAAAAAACTTTTTTCTGCAGAATTGTTCAAATTGAAGAAGACCTGTAAGTTTACTTCATGTTGGACTTTCATATTTGACTCATTGGCACCGCTAGTGGTTGGAAGTGGAACTGCAGCCACCATCATTGTTCGTGGGCAAGGACAGATGAGTAAAAGGACAGGGGCACTTCAGGGGGTCAATCTGATTTCAGATGGGGGCAATACCCCTGTGGCTCCACCCCTAAATCCACCTCTGGGATGGAGAAGTTTCAGGAGTGATTTGTGACCAAAGAATGGCAGCAAAGGTCAAAGGAAAAGTTTATAAGAGATTAGTAAGATGAGGTATAWTGTGAAGTTTGGAGCCATATTGACAAAAAGACAGGAGACAGAGCTGGAAGTGTCAGAGCTCAAGATGAGGAGGTTTTCCTTTGGGGAGACCAGGAATGAGACCGTCAGGTACATTGGCTGAACAACTAGGAAATAAATTAAAGAGGACAAAATGAGACGGTTTGAAGATGTGAGAGATAATATTTTTCTATGGTTTTCTCATGATAAYGACATGTTATCACGAAAAATAACCAGGACTGTTTTCTCGAGATAATGAGTTAATTTCCCAATGGTTTTCACGAGATGAGGAGTGATGATTTTCTGTGCATCATTCAGTAATCATGGCGACAGCCAGATCCCGTCAGCTGGTCACCGACAAAGTTTATTATATCAGCAGGATCACTGAGTAAACGCCTGATGATCTGCAGTCAGGCCGGCCGTCTCCTTAAATGACGAGGACGCTCCCGGCTTCCGTGGAGAACAACCAAAAGAAGAGGAACTGGAAGCACCCTGAAAGTGCAAACCTCCACCAAAGGAGAGATGGAAACACTTGCCGAATAAGTTCTGACGTAGTGAACATTTAAGCAGGCAGTATGCACAGGATTTCATTCTGGTGGAGTTCAATGCAAAAAAAAAAGGTCAGAGACTCGTCACCCAACGTTATTTATCCACAAACTGGTCCTGGATTAAGCTCCTAAGTTTTCATCTGTCAGATTCCATCGTGTAAAACGTGTTTTATCCCATTTTATGAGTTTGTAATGGTTTATCTTTCTAAACTGCTGCTTCCTGGTACAGTCGGCTCAGCACTTTTAGCACAAACACTCCCATGAACCTCTGACAAATCACACAATAAAGTTTTTATGTGTAGGGGGTACCTGCTTGATCAGCTATTCCCGCTGTTCGGTACCAGCTTCGGCTCAGCTACAGCTGGACCCTCCCCCACTTGTYAGCGTCTTCTCAGTTATTCCCGTAATGTGAAGAGAATCACATTTCTTTTTCTATGTCTCCAGACAGCATGTAACATCACCAGTACTAGTTGACAACAGAATAATCACAACTTTGCCGATAGTAGGCATCCTGGGAGGTGTTGACCCAGCGACTTTGCGACTTCTGCTTCCTGTTTCCTACAGGCATGTGTCTGACGTAAGGACACTTTGTGTACCCTRGCTGATTCGGGTGAATTAAAAGAAAAATTCCTGTATCCACTTCGTGATCCAGAACATCACCAAAATTTAAAGGTGTGTTCCTTGGCCCTGTGCCCACATGTGGTAAAAATTTCATGATAATCTATCCACATGTTTTTGGGTAATTTTGTCCACAAAATGACAGACAGACATACGTGACCAAAAACATTACCTCCTCCCCTTGGTGGATGTAATAATTAGGATGTTTAAGGCTGAAGTATTTAAACTGAGACAAACCTCATGCATGGAGCTGAAAACCGACCAGTCAAAGCTGGTGAGTGCCACGGCCACATCCCACGAGGTTAAACTCAGCATACGGACCGTCCTCTGCTGCAGCTCTGAGTTGTCAGTGAACAGGTTCTGTAAGAGGAAAACCCACAAAATCAGCTTCTCTTAACGTAAAGTCACTTAGACAAGTGTACTTGGCAACTTAAAGAGATTCTGATTCCTTTTAATGCTGACAGATTTTTACTGTAGAAAGCCTTTAAAAATATCAAAAAAATCAAATGTCGTAAACTAAGTTCTTTCTATGTTTTTAATAATGTTTCTCTTAAGAACATTTGAGTTTTTACAAATGTGTAGAAAGTCGTTCGACAAGAGAAACAATCTAAACACAGCGTGTACAGTCTGATAAACCTGTTTATTGTGTTTTGTTTGTGCTTGTATAGATTTGCTCTGTTACAATTTGTGTAGATGTTTGGTAATTTGTGATGTTTGTAACTATTTCTGTTTCAGATTGTTCATTTTCATTTGTTTACTGACTAGATGTTGTTTTTTTTTTTTGTAAACATTAGTTTCCTTTGGCAATATGAGAATGAGTTACGTGATCATACACTGGCAGGAAATCATTTTTTGTATTTTTTTTACATTGTTTTCTGAATTTGGGACATCGAGCTAATTCTGTTCAGTAAACTGTCCTTGAAGAAAAGCAACTTTTTCTCCTACCAGGACTTCACCAAAGTCTTTCCTGCAGACATGAAGCCTCCCGACAGACTGTAAAGAACGGGAGAATACTCTGTCCTCGGGCTGCAGGAGGAGTCGACCTGCAGAGAAATAAAAAGTGCCACAAATAGCCAAACTCCATTAAAAATCTGTCAGGTAGCCTGTGAGTATCTATCTGTGGTTAGAGATAAGACTCTGCTCTGCTCAGAGGAAACCAGATAAAAGATATTGAGCTGCAATGTTTTTTTTTCCTTTTAACTCAGGAGACATTTGGATATGTTGAATWTTTGTGATCTGTGCTGGGAAAATAGGGTGGAATGAGCACAGTCTGCAGTAAAATAAAAAAAGTGAAAATAACTTTTTTTGCCTTGGAACAATCCCAGTAATTAAAGTAGCATGTAATCCTAATCTACATTTAAATGAAYGTTTTCTAACAGGTACGGCTACAGAAATAATTMATTTCCTTTGATTTTGACCATTTTTCTCTGCAGGCTACCATACCCTAACTCAATAATGAAAATGTCTTCATTGTGACTCATTTTATCAATTTGGTTCACGAATGAGCTCAATAACTAACTTAAAACAGAAAAAAAAACATTTAAGGTAAGTTTTATGATGTTCTTTTTTCTGTAAACATTAAAACTGTGCTGTTGTACCATTTCTCATCTGACAACCACAGAAGTCTGGTGGTAGACACGTGTTGCAGCCCATCAGTTAGAACCATATTCACCTCCGGGATAAGTGGCGGCCACAAGCAGGAGTTCTGCCTGAGGAACATCCATCCTGTCRGCCACAGTCTGCAACAGCTCCTGAGCTACAGCCTCACTGTCCACCTTCACACTCAGGTAGGAGTCCATGCTGACGTACACACGACACAGAACTGAAAATAAACAAAAGATTAAACATTTTTATTAGAATTTACAAGAAAATGGGCCAGCGGTGGCTGCAATCGTATGTCCTGAAAGACCTGCAGAAAAAATGCTGCTGACTAGGAAAAAAACCTACTGAATGCAACAAACAGCAGCTTATTAATCCTGATAAATAATCAAAATAGGTCTTAAATGTTATTTATATTAAAAGTTTTTTTAATATACAGTATATTTCATGATTAACAATGCAGTTTTTTATTAATGTGTAGCATCAAGCTTCCCACTCTTGAAACTAGAGTGTTCTATATCCTTTATAACTGATACATGATTGTTGTAGCTTTTTGAATCCTAGATATTATTGATTCATCCTTTAGCAGAAGTTCAGACTAATTCTGACAAGACAGAAAAATAAAACCATACAAGTCCTACAGTATATCCGGAACCTGACTTTCCAAACATTTCATTCATTTCCTGGAAACCCCACCCCATTGTGTTTTAGTTCAGACCGAAGTCTCTTTTCATTTACTTTGAAAATAACGTATGATGGGAGCAGTGACGTGCGGCGAAGTTCATGGCTGGTGAGACGGGCACCGATGAGCTTCAGAGCACAGCTTCTGGAAGCAGCATTATCAATGGAGGCCCTGAACATGGTCCATTCGAACACCATGTCACATGGCACGTCACTGTTGACAGTTTATTATGTAACTGCCTGTGAAACGTGAGCTTTACCTAAAATATGTATAACTAAGCTCTAATTTTGCGTGGTGGTAACTGAGGGTCATCCTCACCAGACTGAAAAATGTCCTGTACTTCCTATTATAGCATTAGTTGGAGGGAGGAGCTAATCAACGGTTACAGAACACAGAAAATATTTACACACAGGAAAACTATTTAACGTGAGGCCAACTGAACAAAAACTGAGCTGCCAGCTAACCTATATCTTATTAGCTAATATAAGAGAGCGATCTAGTCGGCTCAGAGGTACATGGGAGCAGCTCCAGTCTCAAATCTGGGATTTTCAGCATGTTGGATTATCTTGTCTCGATATCCCAGCGTGTAGTGTTCCACGAGAATAAATGAGCTAGCAGCCTGTTGAATGTGACGTGTCAGAAAGTGAGGTCCTTTAAAATCAGTCACAATTTTAAAATCTTGCCGTGTGAACCGGGTATAAGATGAGAGGAATGCATGAGGAACTGTTTTATGGCTTACCTTCCTTGGTTTCCCTCTGAGTGCTTCTAGACCTCAGTCCATTCTCTTTAAAGCTCAAATGGTGGGAAAGAGGTTTGCTCTAAAATATAGAAAATGTGAAGTTTTTAACATTTTCATTCAGTCTGAGACCCTTCAGAGTTTCAGTTGGTACAACAGAAAAATGGCTGTAGGAGAAAAGGTGAGAACAACCGATTTGTGACAACAGACAACTGTTTAATAAAAATAAAATAAAATTTAATATTTTCATTAAAAAGTACTCAACTAGTTGCTTTACTTATATATTATTAACAGCATATTAATTCATAACAAATATAGTCCATTTTTAACAAAATGACAAGCAAAACACTTAACTAGAAGGATTATTAGTGGCCAGATATTTCTGATCTAACATAAAACCTGTTTTCCTATTATGGAAATTAACTTGGCTCATAAATATTAGCAGTTTGACACTTTAAAGTCTTTTGAGTTTGACTTTTTTTAATGCTTTTTAAAGCCAATTTTAGCAGAAAGCTTCTGTGACGTAAAACAATGAGTTGATTTAAATGCACAGGGTCTATTTTCATTCTGTGAATGAAACAGGAAGTGAACACATATAAAAAAATCTTTCTTATTTTTTCATTTTMTAGGTATCCATTAAGCTTTCTAACTGGTCAGAGAGGGTCTTTATATGTGCTTTATGACTCATTTTAAAGATAGCAATTATTTACAGGGTTAAACTTTAGGGGGAAAGGTTATAAGTAAAAAAAAATCACAATTTAATAGTTATTTGATCTCCTTTGTAATTATTTAGCTGCAAAGCTAAAAAACAACACATTTTTTTATTAATACGTATTAATTAGGATACCATCAGAAACCCCTAAATATTGGTATGTTAGTTGTGAAGAAAATATCTATAATGAGGAAATATGAGTTTTTAAGACTATTTAGCAGAAATCTGACATTCTCACTTACGTTTCTGTGAGGAGATTCATCGTCCACTGGACTGCAAAAAAGGAAAGAGGAAAACTTTCAAAGGCCACACTATGTGCTTTTATATGCATAAAAAGAGGCACTGATCTGTTGATGACACTTTAACCCTTCATTTATTCTATAATCTGTGTACAGGGAGAATTCCCATATTAGCCACAGACTCCTCCACTCTGCTCAGTCCATTATCGAAGCTCCGTGTCAAGGAGAGATTTAAGCACTTAGTCGATTTTCGACATTCCAGTTTGATCCCTTCATTTAATCACCCTGTTTTCAGGGACTCGTCCTGATAGCAGGATGTGTCGGTTATCATCCCTCAGCATCTACTGGACTCTGCATCACAATAGGCATGTTGGCACAAAGGGACGCCCTGAGAGAGCCCTTCTCAGCAGCCAGCAGTAACCCCGCACTAATGAAAAACCTGASTTCTTGCAAGTCATGTCAAATAAAGGCTGTGTTAGCTATAACTGTCTTTTTTTCCTAAAAAAAAGGCGTAATCATTGTGGATGTATATATAGACGAGCTCCTAGAGAGTTATAACACAATAGAGATTTGTTCTCACTGTCTCTGAGTCAAAGACTTGAGCTTCAATTTGCACAAATGCCAGATGGAAGGTGACAGGAGGCCTTTGTCTACAAAAAAATGACACCTTTTGACTCCGAAGCAGATTGCCACAGAGCAGTCAACCTTGTCCTCCTCCTTTGAGACGGGACTGATGTGAAAAGCTCATAAATCCAAAAGCGTGTCAGTCAGCAACACCCACAGCCCACCACAGTCCACCACTCTAATGTGCTGGGTGTTGGGGATTTCCCTGCCTGGGTGTAAACATGAAAAAGGCAGAGACAGATATCAGCAGCAGAGTGAGACTGAATTATCTGCACGGATTTAAAATGGGCAGGTTGGAGCATCCTCAGGGGGTGACGCTCAGGGAGGAGGGAGGTCGGGGTAATGATTAGGACTGTGTTTGTTGGGTCAGGATTTGTTTAGTCTGTAGTGTAAAAAAGGCAATGTGATGCTAGGTTTTATTAAACCTCAGAACACACTTTTGTCCTACGGAAAAAAAATTATATAAATGATCCCAAAGAATAAACCTGGTCAAGTCTGTCTGCTCTTATTGAGAAATGACGACAGTTGTGACTATACTATCCATCCATGTTGGGTCGCAGGGGCAGCAACTTTAGCAGGAAGGCCCAGACCTCTCTTTCCACAGCCACCCCTTCCAGCTCTTCTGGGAGGACTCCAAGGCGTTCCAGGGCCAACTAAGAGATAGTCTCCCCGTTATGTCTCCTCCAAGTTGGACAATCCTGGGGCACCTCCCTAGGGAGGTGTCCAAGAGGTATCCTCACCAGATGCCTGAACCAACTCAACTGGCTCCTCTCGATGTGGAGGAGCAATGCATTCTCATGCCCCCCACGTCAACATATTGACACTTGGTCAGGTAGCCGTCTGCGTCAACTTTCGGACGCGCCGGGTACCCCACACGCGTCCGGTCTTTATGAGATGAGGGAGGCGGAGGAGGACGAGCGCGTTGTCATATTTTTTTTTACAAGAGTAGGAAATGCGCGAAACGAACCATCCCAGACCCTAAATTTAACTTCTATTAGCCTTAAACAGCCTATCCCTGACCACAGACCCTAAAATTAACCATTAACCCTGATCCCTCATATTAATCATTTTTTAAATGTAGAAAATTTGCGAGAACTAACCGTCCAGAGCCTAAATTTAACCTACATTAGCTTTATACAGCATATCCCTGACCCCAGTATCTCAAATTAACCATTAACCCTGATCCCTCACGTTAACCTCAGACCCCCGACCCAAAGACCCCTAAGTAACGCAACCCGGAAAAGCCGCGGGCGGCAAGGACTGATGCGCGGGGGGGGGGGGGGGGTACCCGACGCATCAAAACTGGACGCAGACGGTCCCTGACCAAGAGTCAATATGTTGACGAGTCCAACATGAGAATGTGTTAAGAGGAGCAGCGGCTCTACTCCGAGTCTCTCTCAGATAACTGAACTTCTCACCCCATCCCTGTGGAGAAAACTCATTTTGACCTCCTTTATCCGTGATCTTGTTCGTCGGTCACTACACAAAGTTTGTGACCATAGGTGAGGGTAGGAACGTAGACTTGACCCATAAACAAAGAGCTTTGCTTTTCAGCTCAGCTCCCTCTTCACCACAACAGACCGGCACAAATTCTGCATTACTGTGGAAGCTGCACTGATCCATATTTCAATCTCACACTTCATCTTCCATCACCAATGATCAAGACCCCAAGATACTTGAACTCCTCCACTTGAGGCAGAACTTCACCCCCAACCTGGGGAGAGCAATTCTCCCTTTTCTGACTGAAGACCATGGACTCAGATTTCTAGGTGTTGATCCTTATCCCAGCTGCTTTACCCTCGACTGTGAACCGCCAGTGAGAGCTGAAGATCACGGCGTGATGACGCCAACACAACCACATCATCTGCAAACAGCAGAGATAGAATCCTGAGGCCACTGAACGGGACCTCCTCTGCCCCTGACTGCACCGAGAAATTCTGTCCATAAAAGTTATGAACAGAATCTGTGACAACAGGCAGCCCTGGATGAGTCCAACTCCCCCCCCGAAGGGGTCCAACTTACTGCTGGCAATGCGAACCAAACTCTTGCACCATATATTAAAAATATACGCTGAAATATAAAGTCCTGAAGGTGTAGACAGTAATGCTGTATAAAAAAGAAACCATGTTGTAGAACGATTCAGCAACTCTGATTTAGTTCCTGATGCACCATTTGCTGGCAGCAAGTGAATCTGTGCTCACTCTTTTTTCCCTAGAATACCTTTTTTTCATATGTGATGTGGGAAACATTTCTGACAGCTTGTCATCAACAGTAAAAATTCCTTTTCTTCTTCTTCTTTTGGTTTCTTAAGATTAGGGATAAAGCGCTTACTGACCTTCATATTTTTGAGCATAACACCCCAGAGCACAGCAATTACTTTTCTCTTTCTGAATAGATTCATTGATGAATAGTTAAAAAAGATGCCTGCAGAGAACAAGTCGTTCTTTGTACTTGGAAGTATTTTTTTTTATTCAGAACTCTACTGGTCATCATTCTTACTGGGTATTTCACACACAAGACATAATAAAAAAAAAGTTATTTTCGAATTTTTGTTCAGTGTTCTGTGAAAACATAAAATTGTACCCTGACAACTTACTGCCTGCAGTGCAGCCGGTAGAGTTTCTGCAGTTCCCGTCTTTCCTTCTCCAGGGCCGGGTGCTCATAAATATCATCGTAAGTGTGACGATACAAAGCCTGGAAGTGCAAATGTCTGTCAAAGCTTCCATCCATTCCATCTCTGGACCATCTTTTCCCCCACATAAGCGGTGTTTCTCACCTTCATGAAAAATGTGACATGCTYGTCTTCCCTCAGGAAGTCTTTACAGAGAGACACCCACTTCGACACCAGGTGCAGGACTTTTTGTTTTCTTTCCAGAGCCTCCTTTAGATCTTCTTTCCCTCTGTGTCGCTTGGTGCAATAAGTGGGGTTTGGTTAAAGAATACAATTGGATACATCTAATTAAATGTAAATAAATAAATAAATAAAATTTCTCAATTTTCATAAAAGTTCAGTCCATTTACCATTCATAAAAAAAATACTTTTGAAGGATATTGCCCTAGAAGAGCTTGGCATAAATCACTGGTTGACATGAACATTGGGTAGGTTAACAGGAAGTCATCCAGAAGTGTATCTGCAAAGAGATAAATAATATACAGTATTAACAACAGTGAAATGTTCAAGACTGTGCAAAAGTTTTGAACCACCCCTGCTTTTGAAAACATTGCCTCCAAGCAGCCAGACTTAATCTTTTAAAGTGGTTCTGATCAATAGTTCTCTTGGGTTTCTGAAGGTCTCTCATAGTTTCTCTTTGAGCTTTGGTTGCATTTTCACCTTTTTTTGTTACCAGTCCTTTTATCTGTTCATGTCAACATATTTTACAAATGTCAAATGTGGACAAGTGAAGAACAAAAGAGGTGTCAGGCCTAGAAATTTAACTTAAAGCAGATAAACTGTATCTGAAAAGTACTTTTTTAGGAAATCAAAGCATTTTTAAATACAGAAAAGTCCTGACAACAAGCAAGATGCTTCTTTCTAATCATCTATTAAAGATTTAGCTTTTCAGTAATCCCCTTATTGGTACCAAAATACAAACTTTTCTATCAAACTTTGTTGTCTTTAGCATGAATCCAATTAGCATGAATCCAATTACATAAATTGGAACAGATTGCATCTTTGATACATGCTGCTTGTAACAAAGTGCTTAAAATTTCCATGAAATTTCTTTGTTTTGATCAATTTTATGTTTTTATGTTGAAACAACATTGAATTTAGTAATCTGAATGATTCAGAAATCAGCACTAAGTTGCAGAACCAACAAAATCCTCTGGAAATGATCTGGTACAGGACTGAAAATAAACAGAATGGTCTATAAAAAAAGAGAAAACCTGAACTGCGCACACAAACATAGCCTCATTAATGCTGCAGTATGCTGAAAAGGCAGGAACACTCCTGACCTCGACAGCATGATTAATTTCTTGTAAACTGCACCTACAGGAGGGCTGTGCTTACGATTCATATGGCTTTAGTTTCCCGTGTTCAACCTTAATACCGCAAGCGGGAGAGCTCGTTCTTTACTGTCGAAAATCACTTAACAAGCACTAAGCAGGGAGATCTCAGAGGAAAAGACGGTGAGGTGATGTTTGCGTGGAATACAACTGTCCGTGGTCTTCAAATTCATTCGGCTCAGGCAAGCTCAAACAAGCTTTCACTGAGATAATCTTCCATCTCACACCAGCTTCTGCAGGCTGCATCAGCAGAGAGAAGACAATTTGTCAGATGGTTCTGTTGAACTACTGTTTTATTTATCCTGATATCGTCCGGTTGTCCTTAGGTGGTGATTTTCTATTAGTGTCATTTTCAAGGTCGTACGTAGAAAAATGTCTCTCATAATGCCATAAATCAAGACAAACAAGATCACAAATACCCCCTCTTGATTTGAAATAAACCATCGTTCATCACTGTCAGGTTTAGTACTGCTTATATTTATTTATTGGCTTAAAAAAAACTCCTTTATGAGTTAATTTCTTACCRGAAATCTAGAAAGTCTGCAGTTTAGAAAAGGGCGTCTTTGCAGCTGCCAAGTTTGACTTGTTAAAGACGTGATTAGTCAGATTGACTATTTTAGGTGGGGATTTTAAGAACACTGAGCAGCTGGGGGAATGTGTAGCTTAGGTCAAAATGGCCAGAAAGTACCTATATTTTTAAATAAAAAAAATAATTTTAGTCTTAACTTGAGATAGGAAGGTGCTAAGCTAGCCACACAAAACTGAAACACAACCTGGAAAAAGGTCGCTAATTTTGAATATGACTAAAAATATTAGTCATAACCTAAGACAGGAAGGTGCTAGTCACACCAAATTTGAAGTCAATAAATTACATTTACATGTTCACAATAATCTTACCATTACACTTACTTAATCTTTGAATTTGCCCCACAAGACAAGTCAAGCTGACCAATCACTGTTTTGCCAAACATCGCCCACCCAAGAAACTCCGCCTATATTCCAAATTCCACCAATCACGTTTAGGAAAAACTCCACTCACAGACAAGCAACTGCAGAGACCCCTACTTGGTTATTTATGCAACTTTGACACTGAAAATCCAAATCTCAAATGATTAAATCTTAAAAGTGTGGAAAATGAAGTAACTCCTGCAATGATGCTGTAAAAGCTTGACCAATTTTATTTGCGTTAGCCTCCCCTCAAACCCTCCTTTGTACATGTGCCATCCACCCAGGATTGTAAATTCATTCTTTTAATTTCACACTGGCTTCCCTGGGCCTTTTGTGTGCGTTCTGGTCCACCAGACTCCCTGACATCATTATGTTAATCCATCCAGAGCAGCTGTGGATACATCACTCCCTGATTATGAGAGGACGCTCGTGTGTACACATGCAGCATTCAGATATCAAATCCATCTCCACACGTGTCATTGAAAACCTTACATTAAAAAAATAATTAAAACAGGAAGAGAAGAGCCTCTCAAATGCTACAGCATCTTTAACACAATCACATCTGCGGTAACTATTTTCAACTAGAACACTTTCTCATGAGGAAAAGCTTCACTACTCCCCAAAGCTGTGGAGTTTGCAAAGGGTTTCTGAATCTGGAAAACAGTGTAAATATTTAATCCTACCACCTGAAGGTTGTATTCACATGCAGTATCTTTTAATGGTTGCACAGTAACAGAGCAGCAGGGGATGAACACAGTCAAGCATTAAAATGTTCTGTGTTAATAAACTGTGACACCTCTGTATTTTTACAAGATAAGTTTAATTTAAAATTTCACAAATGTGGAGCAAGTTATTTGTCTCGGGTGGCTTTTATTTTCCGGCAGACAAATCCAAACAAATTTAGCTTCCTTTTCTTAGAAAATGCCAAATTGATTCATTCGACTCTTCTCTGTGAAATCAGTCAACCCCGTCCGTCAACCCACCGGTCCTCTTTAGAACCGATCAATACAGCATTTAAAATAAGCACCAACTAAACGAGTCGTCTATAATTCACGGTACCCATCAAAAACCTTCTTCGTCTCAGCATTTATAGAGCTTAACTTGATATTTATTCACTTGATGGGGATGTGTTTTTCCTCTTCGAAAAGCCGTCATAATCTGTCGAYGCGGTGCTTCAGTGAAGTAGCTCAACTCCCCCCCATTAGGAGCACAAATGTTACATGTTTTTCAGAGCGGGGGCTGCGCTGCGATTTGTGCAGAAGAATCAATAGCTGAATTTGAGTAAAATGGATGGATGGATGGATGGAGTTTGAGCCCAGGATGAAAACTGCAACACGAACATTTGTGAATGTAAAGGAAATACTAACACACCACAGCTGTGGGTCACATTTGCCTTTGCCTCGAACGTGCCTGTGGTGCTTTCAGGGAAGTGTCACCTCTTGCAGGAAGCTACAAAGTTCCACTGAATTTACAATGATGTCTGCCCTGAACTCCAGGGCTACGGTACTGATGTCAGATTGTTTCTGTGTGTTCTGTAATAAGTATAAAGTGTGAGAGGGAGTTTAATCATCCAGCCTATATCAGTACTGATTTCCTTATTTTTAGAAGACTGGAAATCGGATGATATTTAGGTAAGATCAGCAGAAAAGATCGGCTTCTCATCYTCTGAAAATCAGCCAYTGTCCCTTTTTGCTTTGCTCTACCTAATGTCCAATTTAAACAAGTTTGTATTATTTCAAGGGTATTGTTCAATGTTTTTCAATAAAATAAGATTAGACCTTATTACACATGACAGTGTCATTTGTCAAAAAAAAAAAATCAGTATCGGCCAAAATCGGAATCTGCAGGTCAGACGTGTTAAAGTGCCTGTGTCATCAAATTTTTTTGTAATAATAAAATGCATTTTTTGGAAAGATAACATTGAGAACATATTAAAAAATAATTTTCATGCAGCTGAGATGAACAGTTGTTGAGATATTTGCATGTGAAGTAACAGGAAGTGATGTCAAAGGGGAATGTCTGCATGTAAACAGAGCTATGTTAAAATGCTCAACAGCCCAGACTGTGCAGAGGAATCTGATGTTTCTTTACATTATTATGAGTCGCTATCAGACAGGAAAAAAATCAGCTTTCAAATAATAACGTTTCAATAAACAAAGACCAGCAAGTTCTTTTCCTTAAAGGAGTTTCCCTTTGATGTCACTTCCTGTTCCACTTTTACCAACACAAGTTCKAAAGAAAATAGGCCAGTTATGTGTCCAAATGGGAAAAATGTGTGTTATGCCAAGTTTCTTAAATAGAAAAATGTTTTCTTTGACTTTTTGTATCTGAAGGATAAGCATGTCACAGGCACTTTAAAGATGTGTGATCAACCAGAAAACTGCAATCTGTGCACCCTTAATGGCAACCAGATCTATGACATCCTCCTCAAATAAAACAAAACAACTTGAATCAAACTACTTTATCAAGGAATCTTCACAAAAGTTAAAATAATGCTGTCTGTCATTATACCAGTTTATACAAAAAGAACTAAACTGYTTTAATTAAAAATAATTGCAATTCCTTTCAAGGTTTGTAAAACTTGAGTTTGCTATAATGAATGGCACTTTGTCCAGTCCAGAGACTCTTAAGTGCTTTACACTACATTCACCCATTCATTCACACATTGATGGTGGTAAGCTACATTGTAGCCACAGCTGCTCTGGTCTGTCATTTCAATGAATGGCCTTTCAAACAGGCTCTCTGAAAAAAAAAACATCAGCTCATTAATCAGATCATAATTCAACTTCATTTCTTCAAACTGAAGCTGTTTAAAGAGCAATCTGCAATAATAAAGAAACCTGTTCAGAACCATTTTTCAAAAAACCCCTTCAAAGGATCTGAACTGTCTCTTTCAGAGTCATTTGACTCAGATACTCAGATAAGCACAACCAAATCCATCAGGAGTCACATTAAAGATTACAGAGTGCAGATTAGTTGCTTTGAAGGTGAATGTTTAAAACAGTAGTTTTTAAACAACACACTGTTATATTTGAGGTCTAACTTTATGATAATTGGTACAAAATATTGAAATTAAAATATGTGATTTCATTTCAAATATAACCCTCTTGAACATCACAAAATCAACACTCGCACGAGAACAATGAGCTCAAATTTACTTCCTTGAGTGAACAGAATGATTAATGATCTTTAGTGAGTGATTTTCCTGCCACCATGATTAGAGAACACTTCCATCTTTGATATATATATATA